GGGGGGGGGGGGACTCCCATATGAAACAGACGGGAATGCTCATCGGAAATTTTGAATTTAACCCCTAAAGGAGACCATCTAGGCGTGGCTCAAGCTTTTTGTGATCCCTAAAGGAGACCAATCTGGGCGTGGCTTAAGCAAATTTTGACCCCTAAAAGAGACTGCTTAAAAACACACAAATACGGTCGACATGCAATGAGTTTTAATGATATAAAGACATAACAAACAAACTTAAAAAGAAAATTTGATCTCCGTCTCTCTTTTCGCGTAATTCTGTGTTTCTTCGCGGAACCCTAAACGAGACCTTGGCGGCTTAAAATATTGGCGCTTTGCCCGGAACACCCTAAGCGAGACCAAAATCCAAAATCTACACCCCTAAGCGAGACGACAAGCATCCCCGTCTGTTTCATATGGGAGTCCCCCCCCCCTCGGGGCCTGAACTCAGGAAAATAAAAAAAAACCCATAGCATAGCATAGCATAGTGTTAGACTTGTAAACAACATTTTGGACCAGCATAGCCTGCGCCACAGATGTAATCAAACCCTGGGTAGTAATATCTGCAAAGCAGCACTGAGATCCTTTGTTTTGGGTCCTCAGTTGCCTTCAACGTTTCAAATTTCATTTTAACCTGGTTGGCAAACAAACAATAGCTTTTTAACAGGCCAATCATAGTGTGAACTAAGGGCAGTATGCAGGTGGGGTACTCGGAGAAGGATTTTGGCACTGTTTTGCAGGTTTTGCCTTTGGCGCAGGCTAAAGCCAGCATAGTGTTAGACTTGTAAACAACATTTTGGGGCACTTAAGTTTTTTTTGCCCAGAAAGTGACCAAAAAATGGCTTGACTAGCTTCAAATGGGGTTTCAAAACAAAAATTTCCAGGGGGTTGAATGGGCTAAGCAATCAGTAGTGAGGGTCCCATTTATACAGTCATGTTTTTCATGCACAACTAACAGCTGTGAATATGAATTATTGGTAAATGCTAATTTTTCTAGTTGTTCTACCTACAGAAGGAAATCACTTTCTACTACACTTACATTTAGACTTCTTGGTCATTGGTTTCAAGTTTACTTTTCCATTTGCATCACCTAGTTCAATTTTTATTGACCCAAGATCAACTGATTCGTATTAGGGTTCTCTTTGGCGGGAAAACGAAGAGTCCATGTTTTGATCTTTTCATCGATTGGCTAATAAAACAAATAACGAACACTTACCGAAACCATTTTTCAAGGTCATACGAAAATCGCTCTATTACTTATCAAAGAAAACCGTTACCTGTTGCTTATAAGCTCTGGACCCAGTTTAGTTGTTCGAAGACCGATTAGCGCTGGTCCGGGATGACATTTCAATCCGGGATTCTTTTTCTCTTGTTCAAACGCAATTTCTCGGATAACTTTCTCCAATTCTTTGTAGAGCATCCAATGAACAAATTTCAGACAAAGATATAAGTTAAACTGAATTTGCTTCTTAAACTTTTATATCTGAACTTGAAATTTCGCACTAACCCTGGGCTTTGAACAACCCGGCCCTGGCTTATACATCTTTGTAAGGGGTTTTAGGACGGTTTATAAACGGAGGGGCTTATAAGCTATAGCAATGCTGACCAAAATAGGCTTTGCATTTACTGATTTTTGAATTAAGCTTCAAAACATTTTGGAGGGGGGTTTATACAGTGGTAGGTAGGCCTATGACTGGGTCAGAAAAGTCAGACAACAGCAGGCATATGATTACAGAACAAATTCTGACGTCACTACCCTTGCTGTAAATCTCTATTGTTAACAGTTTTTTTTAACACACGCATCGGCCTGAAAAGATGCAGTCTGCAGGTGCAAAAAGGGAAGGGAAGGGAGAGAAAAATGCACCCCCCCGTTTTCTCTTCCTGTCCCACCCGTTTTGACCCTTGCCACGCAGGTTTGAAAGGATGTGTATATCAGGACTCCTATGGTGATATCTAAACCATGCAGAAGTTCTTTTGACTTGTCACGCAATCCTCCCTTGTGGGAAAGGAAAGCATGACAAAGCCCTAAAAATGTCATCATAGGAAGCTAACTAACAGATATCTTCAAGAATTATGTTTTTTCAAGAATTATGTTGTTTCTGCCACATTTTCTGTGCCAAGCAAATTTTAAAATTCTACTACCTAACCAGCCAGTAGCGTGAGAAAAAAGCTGGCATCAGTTGCAAGTACCACTACTTGTTTAAACGTGAAATGACATCTGAGAAATGATTGCAGAAATTCCATACTGATGATGCATCACTACCCAGATCTGGATAGTGCTTCTGATTGGTCATGCCACAAGGGAAATTTGTTTCAATCAATCAGAAGTACTACCCAGATCGGAGTAGTGACACGTCATCAATATGGAAATTCTGCGCTCGTTTCTCAGACGTCATTTTACGGGGAAGCCAATGGTGACATCGTGAAATGTCAGCTGTTTTCTAGGCCAGGGGCATTCCAAGTACAGTCAAACATGTAATGTGCAGGCCCCATATTAAGCAAGAGGGGGCCATGTCACTGCATGCCTGAACCCCGGGGGGGGTACTCCCATATGAAACAGACGGGAATGCTCATCGGAAATTTTGAATTTAACCCCTAAAGGAGACCATCTGGGCGTGGCTCAAGCTTTTTGTGATACCTAAAGGAGACCAATCTGGGCGTGGCTTAAGCAAATTTTGACCCCTAAAAGAGACCGCTTAAAAACACACAAATACGACATGCAATGAGTTTTAATGATATAAAGACATAACAAACAAAGTTAAAAAGAAAATTTGATCTCCGTTTCTCTTCGCGTAATTCTGTGTTTCTTCGCGGAACCCTAAACGAGACCTTGGCGGCTTAAAATATTGGCGCCTTGCCTGGAACACCCTAAGCGAGACCAAAATCCAAAATCTACACCCCTAAACGAGACGACAAGCATCCCCGTCTGTTTCATATGGGAGTCCCACCCCCCCGGGGCCTGAACTCAGGAAAATAAAAAAAAAACCATAGCATAGCATAGTGTTAGACTTGTAAACAACATTTTGGACCAGCATAGCCTGCACCACAGCTGTAATCAAACCCTGGGGAGTAATATCTGCAAAGCAGCACTGAGATCCTTTGTTTTGGGTCCTCAATTGCCTTCAACGTTTCAAATTTCATTTTAACCTGGTTGGCAAACCAACAATAGCTTTTTAACAGGCCAATCATGGTATGTACTAAGGGTGGTATGCAGGTGGGGGGTCCTTGGAGAAGGATTTTGGCACTGTTTTGTCTTTGGCGCAGGCTAAAGCCAGCACAGTGTTGGACTTGTAAACAACATTTTGGGCCACTTAAGTTTTTTTTTGGCCAGAAAGTGACCAAAAAATGGCTTGACTAGCTTCAAATGGGGTTTCAAAACAAAAATTTCCAGGGGGTTGAATGGGCTAAGCAATCAGTAGTGAGGGTCCCATTTATACAGTCACGTTTTTCATGCACAACTAACAGCTGTGAATATGAATTATCGGTAAATGCTAATTTTTCTAGTTGTTCCACCTACAGAAGGAAATCACTTTCTACTACACTTACATTTAGACTTCTTGGTCATTGGTTTCAAGTTTACTTTTCCATTTGCATCACCTAGTTCAATTTTTATTGACCCAAGATCAACTGATCTGGTAAGGAGGTTAATCATGGTCTTGAACATTTTCTCAATAGTGTTCACATCCAGTGCACTTGCTTCCACGTAGCTTAAGCCATTACGTCTGGCAATTTCATGGCCTTCCTCAGAGGAAACTTCCCGTTCCTCAGCTTGATCTGTCTTGTTCCCAATTATGATGATCAAAGCATTGCTTTCTGTGCAGTAAGTCTTTGCTAAGTTAAGCCATCGAGGAATGTGGTCAAATGATTCCCGATTAGTTACATCACAGACCAAGAAAATGCCATGGACACCACGGAAATACATAGCCTGCAAAGAAAAGAACTGTTCTTGACCAGCAGTATCAACCACTTCCAAACGGACAAACTTAGAGCCATATTTGAAAGACTTGCGATCGATCTCTATCCCTGTAGTTGTAGTGCTCAAGAAAATATTGAAAAAAGGGTTCTTGAAACGATTGAATAAACACGATTTTCCAACTCCTGCGTCTCCAATAAAAAGCACCTTGAGCTTGTAATCGTATAATGGTTGGCGTCCAACTTTCTCAATCTGAACTTCTTCATCTGCCTCATGCAAACTTGATCGTTTCACTACCTTCCATTTGTGCCTTTCAAGTTCTTCTTTAATGTCCTTGATGTCAGGTCTCAATGTACTGTCATTCTCTAAGCATCCTAACACCAGTTTTTTCAAGAAATGTTCCCCCATCTCAGTGATGTCTCTTTTGCGTCGGACATGTTCACTGATCATCTCACCATCTTAAAGGAATGAAAATTTTCATCAGATTTTTTTAAAATACAACTTAAAACAGATTTATCTATCAAAATAATAGATTAAAAAAATTAAATGATTTACAGATCCATTTATCCACTTTGCCACTTAGATCTTCAGCAAAATAAATAAACAGTCCCCTGTTTTACTAGAGATATGTATCTCACATTACCCTTGCAAAATTCACTTTTTAATAGTGCCACTCAAGTTAAGTCGTGTTTGGCGGGGTTAGGAACTAGATGGGTTACCTGTCTTGAATATAATCCTGTTATGAAGGTCCCTACTTTATTTTTTCCTCACTTCTTCTTAATATATACGAGTTAAATTGAGGTGGCCATGGGGCAACATATCATTGTAGCAGGGATTTGGCAGTTTGTTCAGAGCAGCTTACAAGTTCAAACTACAAATTGTATAGCAATACTGCAAATTTATTTTGCTCAACACTGCAACGGCTAGCAAAGGTATCTCTTACCTTTACCTTGGGTGTTAAACCACCTTAAAAAGGGTGTTAAAGAAGATTTCATTGATATATCAATGATTTTTCAGAATGAACTTCTCAAACTCATTAATAATTTAATTCATATTAAAAAAGAAAACACAAAGGAAATGTGAGTGTTAAGGAAATCAGATGAAAAACTGCCCATTTTTGCATCCTTAATCTCTCTTTCTAAAATCATTTTGTTTGAAAGACGTAATACTGAGCATTCGACACAGTGTTTCATCACCAGATGAAACAACCTTTAAGTTTGTCAAAAACATTCCACTGCACGTCCTATTTTCAACTCTCTTCTCAGTAAAACTGTGAAAGGTTTGAACGCAGGAGTCATTTCAAAAGTAGGTTGAGTTTGATCGTCTGGGTGAACGTAGTCCTGAATAGGACTGCTGTTGTTGACAGTGACTGACATTTTGACAACCTGTGCGGTAGTCATCTTCAGAGTCAAAGTGAGTTGTATCACGTCAGTTGATGGTATACTCTGGTAATTCTTCTCAGTATTTCATTTGGTGACAAAACGCTGTGTCTCCTGCTTGATATATTGCATCAAATCAATAAATTTATGGAAGTTCTAAGTTGGGACTTCCCCATATCAAACTGTCTCTAATATTGGAACCAAGTTCTGTGATTAGAATAGAATTTCTAGGAAAAAAAAACACGCAGTCACCACTGCTCCTTTTCCTCCCTCTCTAGGGATCTGTACTGGGCAGATAGTACTACTTGTAGGGATACATGGATATGTACTTAACTGGATATAGATTTAGGTATCGTAGAAAGCCTGCAGAAAAGAACTTATTCAGTGAAAAGATCCTTTTGAAAGAAACAACTTTGTAAAGAATAATTTGCATGCATCGTAATGCATTGGTACCAATAACACTCAAATCTTTTCCCAGCTACCTGTGAGGACTAATACTGGTAAAGTTGTTCTCATTGATTCTGTGGTAGCCGTGCAATCATCAAGTCATGAATGTACTTGGGAGGTTTGCTAAGCACTCAAGAAGCTAGAGTTGTTCTAGGGTACTTGTCAAGTAACTGTGCTTCTTTTGTGCTTATAGCAACCTCCTGAGTACATCAATAGGGACTTTAAGATCCAATGCCGTGACGGCAACAAGAACGTCGCTTACAAAGTGAATTTGCCTTCTTTCAGTCTTTATAGCGATCATTCCTACCCACTTAGGCGAACCCTCCTGAAGCTGAATTTCAAGGGACCAAATTCAAGCTCAGAAAGAGAAATAAAATTTTGTTGTTGCTTGTTTACGTCCTCCATAAAATGCAATATTAGGCATTCTCATGTCGTAGTCATGCAGAAACAGGAAAGAAATGTACAAAAAAGTGTGATGCACATGCGAAGTTGTTGTTTTGCTAAGTAAACCAATTTTTTTTTACATTCTCGTTGTTGTCTGCATCGTTGGATCTTAAAGTCCCTAATAACTTGACGTGTTCACCACTTCTTAAATGAGTCAGGCAGCCTTTTTGACTGCAACTTATGGAATGAAGAATGCTTGCTTCAAAACATACCTTTGGTGATTGGAGTTAACGGCCACACACTTGGTTCATGTCCAACAATCATAGCCATAACCACTGCACCAAAAGAAAATATATCAACTTTTGGGCCATACCTTGCATTTCCTACCACCTCAAACTGCTTCATGACAGGGTATGTTTCAGGAGCTGTGTATAGCGGTGTTCCTGGAACATTGGTGGCATGCATTTCACAGCCTGCTTCAAATATTTTGGCCACCCCCAAATCTGCAACCTTGGCATTACCATGCTCTGTTAGCAATATATTTTTTGTTGCTAAGTCACGATGCACAACAGGACGCTCCAAGCCATGCATGTAATTAAGACCTTCGATTACATCTAAAGCGATGCAAATCAGTTTCATTTCAGGGATTTTTGGTATGGTTGTGGACTCTCTAATGTACTTTTCCAGGTCACAGTGAAGTAATTCAGTGATTATTATGGGTGAGAGTCCTTTAGGAAATAAAACAGTGTGTAGTTTTACTACATTAGGGTGGTCGAGAAGCTTTAGAACATTCCATTCTCGCTGAAATTCCTCCATATAGTGTTCTTGCAGGCAGGAGCCATTTTGAAAGAATACAGAGTGAAACCTTTTCGCTGCAACGTCGCGTCCCTTCCACACAGCTTTATAGACTTTGCCATAAGACCCTTTGCCTATCTCCTTTTTCAACACCAATTCTTTGACATGAGATTCCAGAGATTCTTCCTGTGCTCCTGCACAACTCATTTCGAAGATATGAAGCTTTTCTCCCAGGCTACAATTCCTAATAAGCCTTCTCGATTGGACAGCATTGTTGCCAGACTTAGTACGAAGCTGAAGACTTCTTCCGGGAAATCTCGTTTTAAATCAAGTCTCCAAAACAGTCCAAAGTAACATCCTGGATTTTTCCTTACAACAAAGAATTAATACAAAACAAAGATAGCTAAATGTGATTGGAAGATGGTTTGATTCTTTTTTCCCAGTTCCGTTTTCTCAAGTTTTGCTCCTCGCTTTAATTTGCCGTTGATCACAACCAAAACTCCTTTTGATACATTTGCATTATGGGTACCTTACGTGACGAAATATACGGTTTCCTAGACTACAAGTAGTCCCCCTTTCCTCAGGGATAGTAGAGCGAGCGAAACGCGAGGGCGCGTGAAAATCACCCCACGCGAAAAAAGGCGACACGCGGCGGGGAGAGAGAAAAATGCCGCGTGTCGCCTTTTCTCGCGTGGGGTGATCTTCACGCGTGCTCGCGTTTCGCTCGCTCTACTATCCCTGAGGAAAAATGGGGGACTACTCGTAGTCTAACGGTTTCCGGTCAATGTTCACAGGGGTTACTAGTATAAAGAGGGTCTTAGCCTGCAGTGCAGGCGTTTTCATCGAGCGCGCGCGAATGGTTTTAATCGCGAAAGCGCCATGTTGAAACTCCCGAAGAGAGGAGTAAATGGGGCGCCTCTCTTCTTTTTTCGCCCTCACACCTACCGTAAGGGTTACTATTTCTACTCTCCCCAATCTTCCTCTGTCATAAAATCAAAGATGGCGGCGTCATCGTAGCGATCCGATGAAAAAAACAAATCACGGAAAATTTCCGGTAAGCTGCGTGGCACTAAAAATAATGAAAGCTACTTGGCAGTAGGGACACCTGTGGGTAAAGAAACTTCCAAAGCCTGCACTACCTTTAACACATGAATACATGTCTCAAAGTTTTGACCAATCTGAGATAAAATTGGCACTGGATGGTGACTTATGCGTAACGCAGCTAAAAACACAGCTTTAAAAATTTATTTGTCGCAAGTTAAACACAAGAATTTTCAAGATTTTGTGGAAGAAATAGCAGCCCATGGGGTCC